TGAAGATCCACAAGATGGTGAGCTCTGAAGAGCATCAGCAGCTACAGCTTGAAAGAGCTCCCTACTTTAAAAAGGGTCTATTGAAAGCTCGAAGCAGCTCATCCAGAATGAGCATTTTGCCAGAGTCAGCAGTGGAAGGGACAAAACAGTTAAATCTCTCTGCATTGGGCACATTTTTGGCAAACGAGGCGAGATCACTGAAGTGTAGCCCTTAGTGAACCTAGTGGGGGAAGCACAATGCGATGCAGACTGGTGTTGATTCTGCATTGAAAGAGGTGGAGTAGGAGCTCCTTGGTGCTACTTCCCTCTCCAGAAAAACCTCCTTACGCTATTTTTGTCTATCCCACAAACTTCACTGGATAGCAAGATAATTGGGAAAGCACATGCTTAATTGGTTTTTCCTAATTGTTACAAGGTAAGCTTGCTGAAGTGGTATGTGTGTGCAAAAATCTCAGGATGGTTGTAGAAGCCAGAGCTGTTGCCGTGTGTTGTGGGGTTTTATGGTGGCAGCTGCGTCACAGGGACTGGCTGCATGGACCTGCAATTCAGGGTCTGTAGCTTGCTTGCTTGCTTGCTTGGCATGCAGCAGATCCAAGTATCTCCTGGCAGGACTACACAAATTTCTGCCTGAAATCCTGGAGAGCTGCGGCCAGTCCGTGTTGGCGATCCAAACCTAGATGGACCAGTGAGACAAACAAAAGATCCTCAGGAGGAGGGACAGATGAAGTAGGTCTATAAGGAAAGAAGAGCAGAAGGTGTCATTGTTCGTTCAATGGTGGGGGAAGCAGTGGGGGGAAATAGTGAGCGACAAGGCAGGGATTGCCCATAATTAGTGGTGTAGCAAGAACATCAACTAATGCAACCAGAAACGAGCACCCACTAGTGCAACTAGAAGTTAGCCAGAACTTCTGAATGGAACCAAGTCGGCAGAGTGTGCACAGAAGGGAATGCCACTGACTTTTCCCACTCTGGAAGTTGTTGTTTGAGCTAGTTGTCTTGGGTTGCATGAACACCCTGTTGCACTAACAGAGGTCCACACAAGTGCATCTTCAGATCTGGCCTGTTGCCAGTACTGAAAATGGCCCAAGGATTGGCTCCACCCAAGCCCATTCTTCCAGAATGGTCATTGGAGTCTACTTATTTGTGGTTCTTATTGTTTTTTTTATGCAGCAGAGTAATATGACTGGAATTTTGGAAAGTTTTGAAAGAGTACTCCATCGTAACACTCTGTGGTCTGGTTTGGACATAATGCTAAATTAAGACTTAGCTTTACATCACAGGAGGGCGACTTGTGATCCTTCCAATAGTTTGCCCTATGACTCCAATCAACTCTGCTGGCTATGGCTGATGGGCATTGTAGGCCAAAACATCTGGAGGAGCACACGTTGCCCGCCCTTTCCTTACGCACAAAATTCTCTCCAAGCCTAAATAAAGCCTCGGGGGTCATATTCGATCCTTCCCTCTGCTTTGGCCACTCGGCTGGGAAGAGAAACAAATTATGATGCTATTTCATTTTCCCCAGTTCCTGGCTTGTTGTTAAACACAAATTGGAAAGTGTTGTTTAACACAAACAATAGTTAAGATTACTGCCATGATTTCCAAATGAGAGTGTGTTTTGAACCTCACTTTCTGGTTCATATGTGATAACAAGCCGGGAACTGAATCACAGTTCATTTTTCCAGGCGAAGGAGAGGAGGTGATGGGACGTGTTGGCCCTTGGCTTTCCAGAGGTTCATACACAATACTAAACCATGGTTTCCAGTGCCGATCCCAAGACTTTGCTCACATATACTCACTCAAATCATGAGGCTAATCTGTGATGCAGCCCGCCTTAGAATATGTCACTGCGCCTCCAAAGGGATATTGTAGAGTTGAGAAAGTTTCAGGAAAGGGCAACCAACAGGTCTGAGGAACGGGAGCAGCTTCCGAGTGAGCCATGGCTGCACCTGGCCTGGGGTTCCACTGAGTTCCTTCCCTTTCCAGCTGTAAAATTGGGGATGGGCCACCCCTTCCAGCCCAAGCCAAATTCAATCTGAGGGAAGCGCTCTGCGTCTGCATTGCAGTGGGGGATGGGATGAAGGCAAGGGGTGGAGCCAAGGGCAAGCCGGCGGGGCAACAAGAATGTTAAATACCAGCATGCTGTCGCTTCTATTTGCAATCCATTGCATATTTGGACAGAAAAAAAGCCCCGTGACCCCCATGCTGCTTGGGCATGCTGGGGATTGCAGGACCTTGCATGGGGTGGCAGCAGAAAGCAATTCTTGTCAGCAACTAAGACTTAGGAGAAGCACTTCAATGTTTTAGAAAGGGGGGACTTGGCACCAAAGCCAGGGAACTGTGGAATGATCGGAGAGCGCAGTGGGGGTCAGGGAAAGGGGCATGCCTGTTTGGGGCCCCAGGACAGTCAAGTCTGGCCCCCGTGCCTGAGGTTACCCAACTCCGCTATAAGGGACCAGGCCTCCGGTGTAGTACCTAGCAGGCAGGCTGAGAGGATGGGTGACCAGGCTGTGGGGGGGGGGGGGGAGAAACCTTTGCAACTGGGGAGTTCTCTGTGTTGGCGCGCCTGTGGCTTTGAATCTGCCAGCCTGGCACTCGCATGACCGAGGAGGAGAAGCCAGGGAAGGGTCACGTAGCGAGGCTGTGCTCGATCCGACCTGGCTGGGGCCGCCAGGGCAAGGAGCAGCCGAGGTGCCCGGCTGCATGTGGTGTGCCATCTGGCACCACCCAGGGACGCACAGGATGCAGCAGGGCAGGGCAAGGGGCGCGGGGCACCCAGCCCCCCTCGGAGGGGGTCGCGTTGCAGGGCACATGCACAAAGAATGTGTGTGGCTGGCACATGCAGGCACTGGCCGGTCACCTGGGCAGGATGCGGCCCACATGCCCGCAGGGCCATCCTCAGGGGTGGGCATGGCCGGGCCCCTGCCAAGAGCCCACTCCCCAGCATGGTCCCCAACAGAAGCCCCCAGAGGGGTTCCTCCCGCTCGCCCTCGCAACCTGCTCGCTCACCTGCCTCTCGCAACAATGGTGGCGCAAGAAGAGATGCGCCTGCCGCCACTTCCTTGCTCGCTGGTCTGCACCCATGAAGCAAGCGGCACTGACGGCGAGCCAGAGGAAGAGGAGCAAAACGAGCCACTGGGCTCGAAGACGGACTCCCTGAGGGCATCTTCTCCAAGGCCCACGAAAACCTGGAGCTGGCGCTGTGCCGTGTGCCTGTGTGCTGTGAAGGCAGGCATTGTGCTAAGTCGCACTCTTCAAAAATCTGCATTCCACCTGCCCATCTACTTTCCTAGCCCTGCGCCAGCTTTTAAAAACTGATAACAGCTTTGTGTTCAAAGACGGAGGCAGGATGGAGGAAAATTTCTTTTGAGCCGTCAGATAGAAAGGAAGCATGTTGGAAAACATGTGGGCAGTTGGATGTGCGTGGTGGGGGTGGGGGTGAGCACAAAGAACAGAGTCAAAACAGTTGCTTCTATTTGTGATTCGAGACTTGTGGTCAACTTTGTTTTCACTTTGCATGAGAAAGAATCCATCTTTTCTTTTCCATGGCCCCACCCGGAATCCGCCACTCGTCCCCAGTTCCTGAACAAATGCAGCGAGTTCAGCAGGGATTTGTAAACTAGTTTTAAGGAATTTGTTTATTCAGCTTAGAGACTTCCAGTTGGTGCTGAGTGCCAGAAGAAGTCAAGTCGCAGCACTGCATCAGATTATAACAAGCACACGGCTGGGAGCCACACACAAACCCAATTCAGAAATGCACTGTGTTAAATCTTTTAGTGGGATGGGGGGGGATAAAAGAGAAGGAGTAAAGGCATCACAACCCACTGCACCGTTTCTTCAAGGGAAAATGGTGGATCTCTAAACTATTTTGTTGATCCAAAATTCTTATCAGGAGGATTTCCAAGGATAGCTCTATTTTATGCATTTGCCACTATCCTCTGCAGATGATGGGTGTTCCTAAGAGAATGTAGAGGTGGATTTGCACCTGCTGCCTCCTTCCAAAACCAGATCGCGTTAACCCAGCTTTGCCTGTGGACCACACACAGGGTGGGAGAGACCTAGGAAATGGCTTAGGGCTAGAGTTACTTCCCTTCCTTGCTTTTATTCCCCCGATATCTATTCTAGATATTGCTCTGGCTTTTTAAAAATGTCATTGATCTATATGTGTGTTTCTTGAAGCAGAATTTTTATGTATTGATCTTATCTTATACCAGTGTTAGCTGTACTAAGGGATCCAAGTAAGGAGCACAGTCCACACACAAGTCAGTCCAGCAAACGGTGTCCAGACAAGACACCCTCTGAATTTCCCTACAATCTTCACTGTTGCTGGAGGGAAATTCCCCATACTGCTTCCTACTGTAATGCAAAGCATATTTTGGGGTGGCTTCATCTGGAATGGGCAGTTAGCTTTGCAGAACTATTCCTGGGGGAGACAAGAACGGCTAGAACTGGTTTGTTGCTATAGATCAGTACAGCTGCAAGTCCTTTCCGACTCTCCATGGCAGTGGAGCGATGAGGACTGCCATGATCACCATCTATACTGGACCACGAAAAGCCTTTCCCAAACTAGCTGCTCACCCTGTAGTGCTCCATTAGCCCTCAGTGGTGGACTGAATGGTGTGAAAGCCAATCGTATGGATGATTATCTTTATTTACACAAGGGTGGAAATAGACTGAAGGCTGAGCTGTTCATGCATGGTTACCATTTCCCCATGATTAGTTCCCACAGTGCACCAATAAGTTCAGGGTGAGGAAATTGCTTGAATAGAAGGTAACCCCATGTTGGCCTGTAGGGAAGCTAGTGTCAAGCCAGCCATTGCAGCCTGGAGCCACGGGAAGGGAAAGCTGCAATGTTCCACCAGCATATGATCCAAACTATGCATCTGGGTCTCCACTGCCCTCATGTCCTCTGCAAGCAGGTTTTGGGGGAGAATAGAAGAATCGGGCCTGCATTTTCACAGAGTATAACCTTGCCACCCTTCTTGTTTCTTTGCTCTGGAAAGACATTGATGAGTGTGCAACCGGCATCCACACCTGCCGGCCAGATCAGATCTGTGTTAATTTGAGAGGCTCGTTCAGCTGCCAGTGTCCAGCCGGCTATCAGAAGCGAGGAGAGCAGTGTATCGGTAAGTACTGCACTGGGAAACCAGGCTCCCTCTAGTGCTTTGAACCTTGCACTGAAAGAAGCGCAACACTCCTGTTATTACAAGCAGACAGTCTTCAATTTCTTCAGCTTTCTTCTTGACCGATCTTGCATTCCTCTCTCCTCCGTATCCCTTTATATTGTATCTATCAGATTATAAGCTGAGAGGCAGAGACTGGCTTGTTTTGAACACCTGAGCATTTCAGGAGATATATATGGTAGCAATGCATTCTTGTTTTAACTCCATTTGTGTAATGATTTTCCTTTTCAATTGTGCTCTCATGGGAACCCAGACACAGATGAATGTGTTATCCCTCCGTTTTGCCACCATCGGTGCGTCAATACTCCCGGATCCTACTACTGCCAGTGCAACGCTGGCTTTCAGTTAACAACTGACAACCACACATGTGCAGGTAAGCCTCTTGCAGTAAGTAACTTTATGCAGAAATGGGCACCTCTGAACATGGTAAGGCTTCCTCATGGCCAAGGTTGTCTGGGTGAATACATGGAAAAAGTACAGAAATGCCATCCTGTTGAGATGGAATTGATAAGATAAGAAGGCTTAGGGCCGTCTTCATGTCCAAATGACCTGTCAAAACCAGGAAGACCAAGCACCAAAACTGTGCTGACGGTTCTTTGAAAGATGTTTTCTGTTGCTTTTCTTTTATAGACTCTCCTGAGCATCAGGTTGGGGATCAGCACCGAGAACAATTCAGATGTCTGTATTGTCAGGGTGGACTTTGATGGCGTTTAGCATTTTCTTTAACACTGATCGATCGTTACCCTTATTTTGGTTGTTATGATATTATTCTCAAGCTGACTCTGCACTGGTGTTTTGTTTTGTTTTAATTTAGGAACACAACCAGGTTTCTGAGTTTTTAGCCAATTTATGCAAGGGCTCAGTCTTCTCAGAGCAGGGAGACTGAGGGATTTGCTGGCTTTAGGAACATTCCTCAGACTATTGGGAAAGTTGTGCATGTGTGTGTGGAGATTGGGGTGCATGTGTGTTTGGACAGAATTCACAAAAGCGTCAAAGAAGGTTTCCCCCTCTGTGTTAATTCATTCAGCATTGCAGCTTATTAAAACAGGACCCTATGCATGCGTGGACAGAAAAAGGACCCACAATTCCTTGCATGCCCCACCCAGGATGACTGGGGCATCCTGGGAGTTCTGGACTTTTTTTTTTTTTTTTGCAGCATTTGGGATTGCACATTAAACCTGAATAAGCATCATGCTTTTGGAAAAGGCAAGTCTTGACACATATCACATTGGATTGTATCCAATGTCTCATAACGAAACAACTGTCATTCCGTAAAAACATATTAGCAGGTCTTCTGGGTGGTGGGAGCACCCGCTCTCTACCTTCACAGCCAGGGCAGAAAGAAGCGCACCAGCTGTGGCCCAAGGTCACAGGAAGAACCTTGGAGATGGGCTGCTGTGATGGCTTTATTTCTTTCCCACACAGTAGCTGGGCAGTTTTCCACAGTTCATCAAGCAAGCAGTGCGTCCTACTGGGACCCCAGCTGAACGGGATCAGGGCTGTGGGCATTCTGGGGGGTGGGAGGCAGTATCTCAGCCCCTTCTCTGAGCCCAAACACTTATGTGATGCAATCAGTCGTCAGGATGTTCCACTGCATCCCTTCTGTAGTTCATAGGATGTCTGTAACCCTTCAAGTTTGGAGGGTCATAGGCAGCCTTGTTTGACTGCACTGCTAAATGAACTGTGAAGACCTTTTATTTAGACAAACTTTCTGTTTGTTAGGTTCTTTGTGGTACTCTCTGACTTTGCCACAAATTTTCCATTCATCATTCTTCCTTGAGTTAACTTGATTTATTGATTTTAATTATATATTTTTTTAATTTTTGGCATTTCCCCTTTGTTTTCTTGCTGGATTAAAACCATTCTAATATCTAAATATTAGTTTGAATTAATAATTTTTCACTTACAATTCTTAATCCATAACCTTTGGCATGGTAACATCATCTTGTCCCGCACAACAAGAAATGTCAAGTTAGAGTTAATGCTTAAAGATGGTTAGGACCAGAAGCCCTAAGACATCACAGTTTAGTCTCACAGCAGTAATTATGTTAGTTAGCTAAAGGCACGGGAGCTTAGCTAGAGACTCTGGGGGAAGGTGGAGGACAGGAAGGCCTGGAAGAATGTGGTCCCTGGGGTCACGATGGGTTGGATGCGACTTCACAACCAACAACAACAACAACGGCATGTCACATGCACCTTTAGACGGAAGAAAAAGGGCAATGGCTCTCAACATGCCTGGGGCATGATGGGAAGGATAGGCTTTTCTCTGTCTAAACACACATAAGACTCCACCATCAAGAAAGTTCTCACACACCAGGAGCTGAACTGCAGTCCAGTGGGCCAAATCTAGTCCAGGGGAATCCGAATCCAGTCTAGGAGTTGCCCCTAACCGCCGATCATTTGGTAACTTCCTGACTTTTGAGCAACTATTTCCCACCCTAAAAGCTTGAAATGTCTCTCCTAAGTCTGTCTGACCAGCAAGAAGAGGTGTAGGCATTTGGATGTATCCACCACTGGAATGCAGCACCCCAAAACGTCTCCAGGGTTCCCTGCGTACTCCTTGTGCTTGCTCAGGCCAGGCACTTGCATGGTGAGGGGACCTACCAGTTGTACATGCACAGGGGACTGCATATAGATGACCCTTCCATAGGTGGACTGTGGGACTTACTGCCTGTCTCCTGCACGCCGAATAGGCTATAGGCACAGTTGCTACGTGCACACAAACTGTACACAAGTAAGCTCTGTATACGTGGTCAGGAGCCTTGCACACAGTGTGCACTTAATGCTTGGGCAGGACCACACAGGTGGCCCGGAGGAGCATTCCCCAGCCTTTTCACTCGGATGGTTGGGCTGCAGCTCTCCTGAGCGCCAGCCAGCGCAGCCAACGGCCCGCTATGGTCGAAGTTCTGCTCCAAGACATCTGGAGGGCACCTGCCTGGGAAGGCTGATCTGGCCATGTGGAAGCGGCTTGCTGGTCCGGCCCCGGGTTCCCCCCCCCCCCAACACACATATTCTCTGTATGCGAGATTGTCACACGGCTCAGGATGGTAGTTTACTATGTGTCTGAACTTGTGGAATTTGGCAGACAAATGAACAACAGGTGTTTCGTTTTTATTAAATTTATCCTCCACTAAGCAAGAAAATGCTCCCGCCGTGCAGCCTGGCCATACGACCGTGAATTAAACGAAAGCTATTAAAAGCAGGAAAAGTAACTCTGACAAAATAAACCCTATAATATTCGTCATCACTGTTAAAATATACTGAACAATTGGTTACCAATCCTGAATTTCCTTCAGAGTGTGGAGTGATGGGAGCTGCGTAAAAACAGACCACTAAAAAGGAAGGCTATATAGAAGGTGTTTGTGTTCCTTAAAAAATTCAGCACCTTTGGACACAAGCCTATGTTCAAGTAACAGTTTGCAGTTAGTAAGTATAAAAGTTGTGGGTTTCAGTTTTGTTGTTTTTGTTTTTAAGCCAGTTTGCAGCCCCTAAGCTTTTGGAAATCTTTTTTTTTAATTCTGGTGGTGTTTTTAAGCCAGTTTGCAGTCCTTAAGCTTTTGGAAATCTTTTTTTTTTTAATTCTGGTGGTGTCTCACGAGATTGAGCAGGTGAAAACCCCAGCTCCCTGGGTTCATAGCTCTAGGTATTACTGGGAAAACAAAGAGAAGTTTTGCTGGAATTGGGATGGGATTGATGGGGGGGGGGGGGCAAAACTGTATCCTCTCTTTCCCCCTTTGTGGGGCAGTTTTCATTGGTTTTCAAGGGGAATGTTACTTACCGGCTGTCCTAGTAACTGCCATTTTTATTTTCCAAATCTGCCACTCAAAACAACACTACAGCCCAACTTACCATCGTTCTGCAGCTTTCTTGGAAAGGCCCCCTCCTAGAAATAGGGCTTAAAATCCCCCGTGGGCACACACCCCTTTAGCGGCTCAGAAATGGTGTCACAGAAGGGAGGGGAACTTTTGCTCAGTCTCGGCACAGAAATCACATGATCCTGCCACTGCCACACGAATCACACAATGTCGACAAAAACGGCAGGCAGAGGTTGGGCTTGTGGATCCAGCATGGCGACTGCATGGCCTCTCTCTAGTTTTCTAAGGACTTGTTCTTCTAATCCCAGGATAGGCAAAGCAGTACTTGTGGGCATTATTTTTTTTATTATTATTATTATTAGAACATTTCTATGCCGCCCCTTGCCGAAGCCTTGGGGCGGCTTACAAACACAATAAAATACAATAAAATACAAAAATAGCAATATAAAATTAAAATTAACAATATAAAATAAATAAAAATATAAAATACTGGTGCCCACCAAGATAACCTCTGCCCTGTTTAAAGAATCAAAGTAAAATAATACAGTTTCTTAACCAGCATCTAGGGTTGCTGTGAACCATGGGTTCAAAAGCATCGTTTAATGTGTCAGGGCTCAGACTTTACTTCTAACTTGCACTCGGGCTTTGGGGCCAGTTGCTTGTCCTTTGCAACATCTCCTATGTCAGCCATTTTGTGGTGGTGCCCAAGATAGTTTCTCATATTGCCTGACAGTTTCTCATATTTCCTCTGGCCTGGTTCATCCTGTGCTGATTCTTTAGAAATCCCACAAATACTAGTGAGAATTAGACATGTGCGCGTGTAATTTTCCCTGAGAACAATGGGAGCTGCAAGAATTTAACTGTGGCTGGATCTTGCCCTTCATTTGAATGGACTTCATATGAATATATGTCATGAACTGCCCAGAGAGCCTTATGGTAATGGGATGGCATACAGATCAATAAATAAATAACCCTAAATTATATTTATATTTATATAATATACCATTGTATTATGTTAATCCTTCCTTCCAACCTGCTGCAGGCTGTGTGTTATATGTTCATTTAAAAGAGTTAACATTGAGAATAATTCACTGTATAATTTAATATTAATTTGCATAATAGCATGACCCCACAATCATCTTTTTCTTGGAACAAAAGCCTGGGAATTTTTGTGGGGGGGGCGGGTTCCCCTGCAGGATAGTACCTGACACTTTCGGTAAAAATCAGAAAACAAATGGAAAGGTAGAATGCATTTTCTATTAACTGGTGTGATTCAAAGGCAGTCTTGAATCTTTCTATTCCTTTGATGGATCTGACTATATTACATCAACTGCAGAATAGAGCAATCCAAAGCAATGCGGAACAGCCGCACCCCAGTATTAAAGTCTCTGCTAACATCTGCAAAAGTCCAGATGAAGGCAAGAACCAGTAGGAATAACCAGCAGTGGTTGAGCTGAGCTTTGCAGCCAAAATGACAGATGTTCATAGCAGCAAACTGAATTTGCTGCTATTCTTGCCCTTCCCTATTCTTCAGTTCAGCTGTTGATCTATATTTTATTTTTAAGAGTATCCCTTTAAAAATATGAATGGCTAAACTTATTTATCCATTCTTTCATAATCCGATTTATTATTTCTTCTTCTTTTTTAAAGAATACTTTTTGTTCTATTATAAAACTGCACTGGAGATTAGTGAGGTTTCTTGGTGACATCACAGGAAGTCAACCAATCAATGCTGTGTATAGCCAGGTTCTGCTTGAAATCTGTGGCTCCTCCCAAAAAGCTTAGTTATTTATTTTCCGTACCACACAACAGCTGAAGCTCTCTGAGCAGCTCACAAAGCTTCGCTCTTTGCACGGTAAGATTCCCTTCTGGACAAACACAGAACAAGCCTACTGCTCAAAAGAGGCCCCATATTTTCTTGGACACTGACAGAAGTAGGCTGCGGCTTTTCCTTCAATCTAAACCCACCTGCATCTTGCACAAAAGAACCCAAGTCCACAGAAAGCACCATCGCCAAACACCAGCACTCTGAGCCTTGTCCACAGCTTAGCATTCTCTTCACCAGCCTTTCCCAACCCGGTCAACCCTGGATGCCCCCATCATCCCCAGTCTGCATGGCCTTTGGTCATGGACGTCACAGCTGGATGCCTTTAGTTGGGGATGATGGAAATTCTAGTCCAACACGTCTGGGAGCTGTATGGTTGGAAAAGGCTGGTGCACAAGGCCATGACTAACTGCATTCTATCATTCCTGCTAAGTCACCCAGTGCTGTGGGGATTCACGGATGGCCTGCAAAGTTCCACCATGAAAAGCCGTTCGGTATCCCTTTCCAAGGCAAGTGTGCGCAACCTCAGGGCCAAGGGCTCCATCTGGCACTCTGGAGTACAAAAGCTCCCATCCAAGTCTCCCACCAGATGGCCTCACCTTCCTCCAATCTCCCTCGACAATGATCCTTTGATGGTTGCACTGGAATACGGAGCACCCCAAGAGCTTCTCCAAAACAGAATTGAGCCCTTGGGCTGGAAGACATTCAACACCTCTGATTTAGGGTTTCAGCCATAATACCTATAATGTGAACTCCGCTGCTCACAGCCTCCCACACTTTACTTCCACTTGTATGGAAGAGACCAGGACTAGGGGGAAAGCTCTTTGTTTGTGGAGATGTATCATAACCTCCAAGCTACAAAATCTTACATGCATTACATCCAATCTTACATCCAGAGAACACACCTAAATACCTGACACTGGAGGACTGAAGATGCTTCATGTTTCCTTCTAGACATAAACGAATGTGAGACCAGCAACCCGTGTGCTCAGCTGTGCTACAACGTGGTGGGGTCCTTCCTGTGCCAGTGCAATCAAGGCTTTGAGCTAAGCCCTGACCGAATCAGCTGTGATGGTGAGCAATGGTCTCCTCCACTGGTGGGATTTCCAAGGGAGGTTGGAGGTGGTCTTTCTGGGAATGTCGGCATCACCGGTACAGACTTGACATGCAAATGACTGCAGGGTCTCCTCTTCCTTGCTCCTCAATAGTTTTTTTAGTGAATTTTTTGGTTGGCTGGTTGGTTGGTTTTGCAGGGAACTAAGGTGTAGATAGTCCGGATTATAACCACAGCTGAGTGAAATCTTCACTTGCCATTTTTTACCATTTGAATTAGGGTGGTTCTTTTTTTGGAGGAAACCCCTTTTCATTGGCAGTGGCAGCTCTGCTTCTCTTGAGCGCCAGTTTTCATGTTATTTCTTTTAACTGCAACATGCTGGAGTGAGGACCAGAATCACTCGCTTAAATCCGAATTGACGTAGGGCTTCGTATTTCATTGGCTGTGTTGCTTTGTTTTGTAGTCAAATCAGAGTAAGAGCAGCACTGCCAGCTCCCTCATTCCAGTCTCTTGTGGGTTAAAAAACACACAAAAAGAATACAGCAGCCAGCAATAGAAGCAAGCACAGCTGACACCACTGTTAAATAGGAGGGACGCTAATTCCTGCTTATTGGTCTCAGTACCCCAAAATAATTACTGAAGAGGGGGAGAGGGGTTCCATTTGCAGCTTGCAAACCTGGCAGGAAAGGGGCCCTTTCGGCTCAGCCGTGGCACTTCCGCCGTGGTTCAAACGTTGTCTCTCTTTTGCAGATGTTGATGAATGCAGAACTTCTAATTTCATGTGTCAGTATCAATGTGTCAATGAACCAGGGAGATTCTCTTGCATGTGCCCGGACGGATACCAGTTAGTCAGGGGAAGGAATTGTCAAGGTAAGTAACTTAAACACCTGCATTCTTAAAGCAAAAGATTTTCCCCTCCTTCTAAAGCGCCTAATCATACATGCTTGAAATACTCCATTGCCCCAGAGTTGTCTCACTGTGGTTGTGAAAGAAAAGAACTGTCCTCCATCTTTGTATCTAGGTTGGTTTGGGGAACTGTGTGTTCAAATCGTTGTGTGTGGTCATATGCGGATCAGCTTCAGCCAAAAGCTTAAAAGGTTACTTTGACGGTCGGGGTGAGAAAATTTCCCCACAAAGCCAGGAATTATGGAACTTCCAGGCTCAGCAGAAGGGGGTGTGGAGTGGGGTTGCGGGAGGAGATTCACCAGGAGGAACCTAGGGAATAGGTGGCAGAAATCCATGTGAAACTACCCTCCATATTGGTTGCAGCAGGGGAGGGGGGCAATTAATTTTAAGATATAAAAGCCTATGTCAAAACAGGAGAGAGAGAAGCAGGCCAGTCCACGATTGTGGCACAATTCTCATTAAAAGAGGAAGTATAAAATAGGCTCAGATGAGGCGCAGCATACTATGCCAGCCAAGGCCCGTGGCTCACCAGAGAGCTGGTAAGTCTGTTTTACTCACTGTGATGGGCACAAAAAAATCAGGGAGCAAGAAACAAGCCTCTGGCAAGCTTTGTGGTGCTGGACAATACCGTGGTAGACGAGAGCTTTGCTAATGCCCTGGCCTGACGGAAAGGCAGACAAATGGATGCTACATCCAATCAAGCCAAAGCTTCCTAGAAGCAAAAATGAAAAAATGAGGCAGCCCTACTTTGGACACATCATAAGACGACAAGACTCCCTGGAGAAGACAAACATGCCAGGGAAAGTCAGAGGCAAAAGAAGAAAAGGAAGACCAGATAAGAGGTGGATTTACTCCATAAAGGAAGCCGGAGCCTTGAATTTAGAACAGCTGAGCAGGGATGTCATGGATAGGCCATCTGAGGGGGCTGTGATTCATAGGGTAGCCATTACAACAACCACCACCCTACAATAAAATGGAGCCCGGCATACACAAAGCAAGCTGCTATATGTATCAGGGAAGACACGATTCGGACTTGTGCAATCTAATCATCATCATCACCATCATCATATTTCTGTACTGCCCCCAGAAAGCTTCCTGAGCAGTTCACAACTTTTAAGTCACCCATCCACATTTCAACCAGGCCCAGTCCTGCTTAGCTTCCAAGATTAGGCAAGATCAGGCACTTTGGGCTATATGGAAGCTATAATTAAAACCTCAAGAGGCACAGACTGAAGCCAAGTGCAAAATACTGGGTGGGGAGATAAAGAGGGTAGAGAGAATTACTTGCTGACCCTGGGTACCATATTCCAGGATATCTTGCAGATTCAAGCTCAGATCTCGTATCTGAATGAGTCCAGTCAAAAGATTCTGCCAGCAAAACTCTAAAACTTTTCTTTGCTTTCCTTCCTGATACAGATATAAATGAATGTGAAGTGGGTAATGAATGCCGGGAAGATGAAATGTGCTCTAATTATCACGGTGGCTATCGTTGTTATCCAAAGAACCCTTGCCAAGAACCCTACGTGTTGGCCTCAGAAAAGTAAGAGAAGCCCACCCACAATTTCTTAACAAGCATCATTTGCAGAGAGCAAAGCTGAGTTCCTCTTTGCATGGAAAGATTTCCCTTTTCAGTCGTTGTGGTTTCTTTTACAGTCGCTGTGTTTGTTCGGTATCTAATCCCCTTTGTCGAGAACTGCCATATTCCATTGTCTACAAGTATATGAGCATCCACTCAGAGAGAACTGTGCCATCTGATATCTTCCAAATCCAGGCAACCACGATTTTCCCCAATACAATTAACACGTTCCGGATTAAGTCTGGGAATGAAAACGGAGACTTCTTTCTGAGAGTGAGTATTTTGTGACCTCCGCTAAAATGACTCTCTTCTCTGGCCTGGCGGTCAGCAGATGCGAAGACGTTGCTCAAAAAGCCCAAACCAAGTCAGAGTCGGGGGCATTTGGTGGGGAAGAAGCACTCTTATTGGGCCCCATTCTGCCACTGGACCCCTGCTAAATGTGCAGCTGTGGTACCACTCACTGGCCACAGGTCGTGGAGGCGCCACAGCACAACCAGAGCTGGTGCCAACCATCAGCAGCCTCGGTCCAGCTGGGTTTGCATAAGCTGGGCATCCAGGCAACATGCAGTGACACGCCTGCTGCATTTCCACCATGTGCCATTAGAGCATGCACTGAAGGTCCTTTTCTCCTTCTCCACTTATTTCCACCTTCAGCACCTTATTACTAACCTCGCCTCTTCTGCATCACTACTGCCTTTTCCTCATTCATGCAACGACAGCAGGTACATGTGGTATAGCCATCACCAGACCCCCAAAAATGTAGCAGCTCTGAATTCAGATGAGAGATCCCATGCTTCAGTGCTTCTCTGCCATAAGCAGGAAGACTGTGGTACCTACATTTCTGTTTCCTGGTGTACTGGCGTTCTGTAAACAAGGTGTTTGGCTATGGGAAGCCTGTGATCAAATTTGCCATCTTTTTATTTCTCCCTCTGTTTTCCCCCTCCTGTCGTACATTTGCAAGGGTTTGACCATTTTGCATGGTTTTTCCTGCACCACTTTTTCACTTCATAATTAAAAAACCTGTCTGATTAAGCAAGCTCCTCCTTTCCAGCTGAAAGCTCAAGTCCATTTGGTGCATGATTGACAATTATTGCTGAGCTAAATTTTGCTTTTTCTACCAGCTGAGTCTGTACACAATACACAAGACTACATGCAATTTTCATAGGAATATTGAAATCACCCAAATTCAGCCCCTAACCTGGTAAACACAGTCCCTAAAGCAAATGAAGTCATGCATCTTTGAATATTACTCTGGGAGGGTTGGAGGGAATACTATACATTTCCAGGTGGAAAAAGCCATTTGATTTTCTTTCAGCAAAACACCCCGGTGAGCGCGATGCTCGTATTGGTAAAGCCCTTAACAGGACCCCGAGAACATATCATTGACCTGGAGCTCCTCACAGTCAACAGTATGAACTACCGGTCAAGTTCAGTGCTCAGGTTAACACTGATTGTGGGACCCTATCCTTTCTAGTCTCCGCAGTTAAGTAATCGGCAAGCAACCAAAGAAATATTCCCTTAAATGAAGCACTTATGAATTTATTTATAGATTTTACATGGCGTGTTTGTTTTTTTTTTTAAGGAAAAACCCCTTTATTAAGGAAATTAGTACTTGTAGCCATGCTCTTACGCTTAGAAATCAGAAGTAGTGTACATGTTCTGAAGTATAACCCAGGCATTGCCACTTTCTGTATAAAGTCTGCTTTCTCCCTACTCTTATAATACCTGTATTGGTTGTCCACCCACAGCCCAGTAAATTTCTACTCTTTCCACTAAATGCATGGAGGCGGCAGGAGAAGCGGACGCACGTGCGCAGTTCCTGCCCCAGACACAACCTGTCCAGCAGAAGCTGCGACCAGAGCTGGCTGTGCGGAAGCTCCGCATGCCGCAGTTTGCCAGTCACGGGGAAGGATCTGTGGCAGCCGCCCCAGGATGGAGGCCTCCAAATAAGCCGCCCCAGAACTCCCATGATGACAGCGGTGGTCCAGCTGTGGAAGGCACCTGGTTAGGGTATTAAGTGGCATTCACACCTTGCGCTGAACATCTTTCATGAAGAGCAGTGTGGTGTAGTGGTTGGAGTTCTCACTCAGCCAGGAAGTTCACGGGGTGACGTTGGGTTCCTGGTTGTGGACTCTCGGAATAACCTGCCTCACAGAGTCGTTGTGAGGCTAAGTGGGCCCACAAGCAACTTGCAGGGGGAGCAGGACAGCAAGTGGCACTGCATGCTTGAATGCCTGCGTCCACGCGATGCAGTGCAACGCTGGCAGTGCGGACTCAGGAGATCTGAGTTCCAGTCCCCACGTCGCTGGGAAGCTCGCTGGACAGCTTTGGGCCAGTCGTGGGCTCTCAGCCTTACCTACCTCACAGGGTTGTTGTTAGAATAACATGAGGAGGAGGCCATGGAAGCTGCCTTGGGAAAGAGGGAAAAGGGCAGAGTATAATTGCAATAATAATGATTTTTAAAAAGCAGCAGGCAGTGGAGTGGAGCCAGAGTGCCCAACCATGTTCACTGCCCCTCTCCATGAATTCAGTGGCCGTGCCCTAAAAGTGGGGACAGGATTGCTATCTTTGAGGTTTTGTAATGTGTGCCTTTTCCTTTTCAGCAGAGGTTGGAAATATGATACTTTTCCATCTGAAGGATGCAGTCTCTCTCCCTCTCTCTCTCTCTCTCTCTCTCTCTCTCTCTCTCTGTGTGTGTGTTTGTGTGTGTGTGTGTGTAACCACCTCTGTCCAGTGATTGCTTATGGATACAAGAGCTCAAAGAGCAGATGGTGCCCCTCTGTCTGCAAGGCTGCCCCATTCATTTCAACGGAGAAAGCCAATTCATAAGTGTATTCTGTAGCGTATATGTTAATGAAAATATTGTAGAAATCATGCACAAGAACATCATATGGGATGTCACCCAGCCAAAGAGCACCACATTTCATGTCCATTGAGATTATAAATTCCATGGGATCCATGTACACTTAGTATTAGCTGCATTAGAAACCGGGGAGAAATTAATTCAGTTCACATGTTAATGTTAATGTGGACTCACCTAATTTTGCATATTTGGATCACTATGCAAACCAAAGCTCAGTTATCCTTTGAAATTTGCACTTCTCCAAATTTTGCAATGAAGTTCTCCAATCAAGAAATGTACACAAACATGCATTTATTAGGCAAAATAACATTTAAAAAACCATGCATTAGAAGTGTATCCAAAAGTGCTTCCAAATTTTCATCCAAGCTTTAAAAATAAAAGCCTCAAAGTTTGGAATGAACTATACTTAAGACATTTCTTGATGTACCAAACTTAAGATAGGAAAAAGAAGGAAACTAAAACGGACAGATTTTTCCATCCATAGACAGGATTGTGCCCAAATTCAGCTTCAAAGGTACTGGACCATTCAGGTGAATAAAGTCCATTTCTATTTTTTCATCATTTTAGTATGCCTAGGAAATAGAATCTAGGTTATGGGTTATTGGGGGTCAGTAGCCCCAACCTTGATAGCTTTCTCTTCCGCAGGATTGGGCAGATCTACTTTGTTTCCTGCTAGGACCTCAAGATTCACCAACAAGTTCTAGCTCAAAAGTCCTGTTTCTTTGTATGTAACATAAAACTCATGGTTCTTACAAACAGGAACCTGTTCCTTATTACCGCTCAAGCATCCTTCAATTTAACAACCTTGTGTGGAATCTTTTGGGGGCTGGCTGTTCTTGAACAATCATAGGGCAACTAATTCTGTCTCTAGTAGATGTGAAAGTTTGCCACTTGTCCTTTTATGGAAAAATAATTGTTCCTGAAAGGCTTGCGGGGGGAGGGGGAGGTTGCAACCCTCCAGGGCCCTTGAAATATTGAACTCTTTCCATCAGTCCACAAACCACGGGCCACCTGTCTCGATGAAGGTCATTTGGCTAACCCATAATATAGCCCCTTTTCTTTGTCCCTTTTAAGTGCCTTATACAGATAAATACAGATCAGAGAAAGCAAGCAAGATTGTTCTTTAGGCACCTACTTGTTCTCATATTGAAGATTTTCCAATATATTTATATATGATTTAGAGCTAATGAGCATCATAAAAAGAAAAGAGTTTGCACTGGGCGTTTCCTGAGCTGCAGATACTGGGCAGATCTTTTCTACTTAAACCACCCATTAACATTTTATCTGTTCCGAGAAAAATGGGACATAAGCAGAATGCTTTGCCAACAATGAGTGAAGCTCCCAATGGAAAAGAAAACATCATTTGGAGAAATATTTCTGTATATTGTTTCTTGTTGCACACAACAATCCTTCTAGTTCCTGAGCAAAGAGGGGGGTGGGTGGGAAGAGAAATATATGTTTGTATACTAAGATTCGCTAATCTAAGAAACAGCTGCCTGTAAGTTGTTCTCTCTTTTCCTCTCTCTAATAATTTTTGGCTTAGTCTGGTGTATTTTCAGAATTTGGGATCCAAGAATTGGCTCTCTTTTGTTAAGCGTTCTACAACAAAACTGACTTATTTATCCTATATATATGTGTGTGTGTGTGTATCTGTTTTATAACTGAGAATTGCAACTCTAAATGTACAGTCTTCATTTAAAAAGTGCATTAAGATCTGGAACTCCATACATCCTTTTGTAATATGCAAAATCTTTTCTCATTTCTTACCTAAAAATCCTAGCAGAGAACTCTTTGATGTACATTTTTTAATAAATGAATAAATATACCTGTTTTTGTGGACTTGTTTTGTTTTGCAAGTTATTTTAACCTAAAAGACCACTCAAAGAAACCAGATCAGCAGCTGGTGTATGTCAGTGCTAATTTCACAGGAACACACAAGTTAACACCAGCTGCACTCTGACACAGCTTATTGGTGGAGCACAAGCTTGCGTGTACGATCCAGAAAAAGGACTACGGTGATCTTAGCCAGGGAAGATTTCTAGGGAGCTGCTTCCTGTCTGCACTGGCCTTTCTAAACGGAATGAAACACCCCCTTGCCCAGCGTAGCTCCCATTATACAAGCCAGAAGGAGCCAACTCTATGCCAGGTCGAACTTTTTCCATCCACACCAATATTGTCTGCCCGTCCTCCTTGCATCTGGAATTGCTGGCGGTTGCACATGGCACGGGCACGCTCTCCCAGGAGCTGGAAGCCCTGCACACTTGTACGAGTACAGAATATTTGAATGCAAGATTCAGCATACTGAGCGTAATACTGAGCGTAAGCACGGCGTCCCGACTTCAGCACATGCTCTCCAGAGAGGTGCACCTGGTGCCAAGGCTTTTCTGCACCAGGCCAAAACCTTTCTATTTTCCCAGTATTTTAAGATCTGATTGTGATTTTACTTTTGGTTTTTCTTAGATTTATCTCTTAATGTGTGCTGCCTCTTGTTTGTTGTATTGCCGTCCTGAGACTCCAGTAAAGGACGGAGTAAAAATGCTTTATATACTCGTAAATGAATGAATACATAAATTGCCTAGTTCAACTTACTCCACATTCTGACATCATTACAACATGAATTTCCCCATTGTATTCTCACATCATGGGCCAATATTACTGGCTGAAGGAGGGGTTCTATGCCCTCCAGAGAAAACCTCAGCCCAGTGCTCAGTTGCTGTGAAAAGGCAAGCTCCAAGCTAGGCATAACTCGGAATGGAACAGAAAATTGAACTGCCAAGATTTTATTTCCCTTGTACAAATCTTTGGTGCAGCTGCACTTGGAATGTTGTGTTCAGCTCTGGTCACCCAGCCTGAAAGGACACTACTGAGTTGCAAAAACTACAGAGAAGGACAATGAAAAGGATTGGGGCTGGAGCAGCTCCCCTGTGAGAAACGGCCACAACGGGGACCGTTCAGCTTAGATAAAAGTCAAGAAAGGGGAGACACGATTGAGACATGGAGAAAGATGGGAGGGAGGGGTTTTTCTCCCATGAAGCTGACAGGTGAGAGGTTTAGGAAGTACTTCCTCACATAGCAAATAATGAAACTATGGGATTGGCTGCCATGGGAAATGGTGAAGGCCACCAAATGGATGTTTTAAAAAGGGATTGGGGGGATTCGTGATGGAGGCGGCTCTCCGTGGCTACTGGCCTTGCTGGCCAGGTGCTCCCTCCTTCACCAGAGGTGGCCTGTCTCCATCCCCCAGTTGCTGAGGAGCTGGGCAGGTGGAAGGCCTGCAGTGATCCTGGTTTGCCAGCATCTGAATGGCATGCTGGAGTAGACAGACCTTTGCTCTGATCCAGCATGGCTTTTCGTACCTCCTTTTGTTTTTATTAAAAAGATCCAACCAAGCAGTTTCCTTTTTGTTTCCTCAAGAGCAATAAAGACCTTTAATATTTTTACCACTATCTTTTACCCTTTTTTTAAAAAAGAAAAGATCCCTTCTTTATGTTTATAGACTAAGGTATATGCCTTTTTGTACTCTTACACACATTATATGTTTCATATGCAAATTCTAAATACATAGATACCAATTAAACATTTATCTTGCCTAAATATGCATGTTCCTCCTTATATGTGTAATTGGGATATTGAAAGGCAAAACTGAGAATTTGGATACACTGCTTTGCTTCTTCAGAAGTAAATCTTTAAAGCCTTGCATGGCCTAAAACCTTCATTCCTGCAAGGCAATCCCCCCTCAGCCTGCCCCACGCTACAGTCTGATGGCTGCTGAACAGTTCACAGGATGCTTCCCCCAAAAATGGTTGCTTTGCCAATCTCTTCATAGCACTACAAAGCACAATTATGATTAATTAAGCCACTTTATAAGTAAATTTAACCTTTTGGCACTCTGTAGTTGTCATGAAGTACCAAATGGGCCAAATTTATCCTGTGAGCAAACAGAAATTAATGATTTTGGTGATCTGTAGCTGCTCCAGATGCTTTCCCCCCCTGCCCTTTGGTTAAAAATGTTTTCCTTTCTTTATCGCAGGGGCAGCAGGAGCTGGCAGGAGCCGCAAGCGGCCAAACCGTTCCTTAACCACTTCCTTACAGGCTAGAATACCAGTACACATATTGAAGTAGTAGATAAGCTCCTACAGAGGGGAACTCTTCTGTTTAATCTGGCTCTGTTTACTTGTCATTATCACAATCGCAGGCCTTAGAAACAGGATCGGCTGTGAAACGCAGCATCTTCCAAGAAACATGGACACTGTCAGTAACTATAGAACTCTTGCGTAAACAAGGCTCTCCCCGACATAGTAACCAAACTCATTCACTTCTTTGAGACCACCTGAACACGAGTCCAATGGGATTATTATGTTTGGAAGGCTTGAAAAACAGGAGTTTACTGTTGAACTCCGTCTCCATGGCAGCTGACCATTGCTTATGTTTTGAGAAGGCCAACCACGTTTCTAACTTTATAACTCTTCGGCTAAAATACAGAACAGCTGCTTCCCCGATCGTAATGCAGCACATCTGGGGCCCACTAGGGGCAAGTCCTCCTCTTAGTCGAATTACTTTTAACGCCCTCGCATTTCTATCAAAACCCATCATCTCTGCGGGATGGCAAATTTCCATATTTCCCAGCTGGGGGAACACCTGCATGATACAAACCTAAAGCACGCTGCATCTGGTTCTTTCAGGGGGGTGGGGTGGGGTGGGGTGGGGTGGGAGGCAAATCTTATTCATCTGGCCAGCAGAATAAATTATTGTCACTAGTGAAAGGAGAGAGGGTAAAGAGTCAATGGCTTTTTCTATTTAGGCAAAAGCAGATGTTCAACAGGGCTGTTTACTTTGTATGTATTTTATTTATAAGTTAGCAAAAGACAGGACCTTTTAATAAAAATAGGAACTTGCACTTTCCTCAGTTTAGGACATTATTATGTGGTTGCTCAGTTAGGGCCTTTTCTTACCCTCAGACCTCATCACCTTGAACCTTACTAAGATGCTCTGTTCTTCATTGTGCATAAAGGCAGTCCAAAAACTGCTCAGAACCGTTTGGTCATTATCAGCTTGACCATAAACATTTGAGATCCTCAAAGGAATGCACTAAATCTATTTGTGATGTGGCCCTAATGTGTGGAATACAGTCTTTTGGTTTCTGCATTTTGAAATATGCTATTTTATTCTTAAATCTTCACCCAGTTGCTGGTTTTTATTTTGATTTTATATTGTAGTTTAAAACTTTTAAAGGTGCGATCCTATGCATGCTCATAAAGAAACAAGTACCTACATGCTGGTTGAAGAACGATAGAAGTTGTAAGACTTTTTTGTATCTAAACGTGCAAAGGATTGCACCTTTAAAGGTTTTATATAATGTTTGATCATGCTGTATTTTATGATTTGAATCATTTTGAGCCACCCAGAGAGCTTCAGCTATTGAATTGTATAGAAATGTAATAAATAATAAAATAGAATCATAAATAATTGTATAGGGATTTTGACAGTGTTAGGGGCCATCTGTAGTCCTCCTCTGTTTTCTCACTGCAGCCTCTGCCTTTTTTTCTTACCAGGGAAAGAATCCATTAAGGAAAAGAAGAAGGAACATGCTGGATCTCCATCTAGAATCACCATCTCTGTGGAACATGATGAAAGCCAACAAGTGTAAAACTACTGAATTACATGCTCTGATGCTGTTTCATCATGATTTGGGTGCCTTCTTATTACCTGCATTTGCAGCTTCGCTTGAGAAGGACCATCTCCTTTTAAGCTAATAATATGTTAAATCCCAGTGACTCTTTTACACAATTTGCAAAACTCTTTGCTTTCACCACAGTGACTACACAGAAAATTTTATCACTGCCTGGCTAGATTTGAAACACTTGCTGTACAATCTTATGCATACATCCTCAGAAATAAGTCCCACTGTATTCAAGTGGGTCATAATCCCAAATAATTCTGCACTGTATTATGGTCATAAGATTACTGAGGGGGTTGTGCTTTGCACAAGCTTGGGAATTGGGCCTGGAAGATTGAATAAACAAGGTTTTTTAAGTGGATTATAGCCTCTAAATTACCTCCTTGCATGAAATGCAATTTGAAAATACATCTTGGTCATATTTGATCTATAGCCAATATCGCTTTTAATTTTGGAAAAAGTGTGGTCAGCCAGAATCCTGTTATTACTCACAGTGGCAGGGCTGCGTGGTGCAGATTTTTGTGGCAAAGTCTGAATTACAGTGGCCTGATCCTGGATCATGCAATAGAGGTGGACCCAAAATCTTATTCCGCCATAAACAGCTCCAGTTCAGTCATGCACTGCCACAGGCAAGCTAACTTTAGTTCTTCCTTGCGTGACATCATGGGTAAGGAAGTTATGGCTTACCAGGAGCATGAGCTGGTGCAAGGGGAGCGGGGGCTAGGAAGGGCAGAAGTTTCAGGGGGTCAGAGATGCCAAGAGGGGAGCAGCACTTACTGATTGGGCGGGTTCACAAGAAGCCACGGTGAAATCTTACCACTGTGGGCTGTCAGGACAAAATGTGCAAACGCTTTGCCATAATATGGCTGCGAAAAGCCTGACACTGCAAGCACAGCTTTAGACTTAAGGATGGATTCCTGATCTGACCAAGAATCCATGGTGCCTTGATCTGATAAATAAGCCACACCTCCACTGGCAGCCATTTTGTGCTAGTACACAAGATAGTTTCTCAAATTGCCAAAGCCCTCGAAACTTTACATTACAGAGGATTGTAGGGTACATGTGAATGGGTACACTCTGTTCTTTGGTAACCATGTGCCCTCTTTTAATCAGGACAGTTCTCTATTTGAAGGACTGCTACAGGGCTGTGTTCTGTTTCAAG